ATTTTTACTCCTCTTTTTATGCATACATATGTATCTCATATGTATGGTTGTGTATATACATGTTTATATGTGTGAGCACAGGTATATACATGCCACAGGGCATATATGAAGGTCAGAGGACAAACTCAGGTTTCAGTCCCCACCTTCTGCCTTGCTTGAGACACAGTCCCTTATTATTTTGCAGTCCCTTATTATATTATAAGCTAGCTTCTAGGGATCCTCCTGTCTGTCTCCCATTTCCCCGTAGGACAGCTGGAATGACAGACAGACACACTATGGCACTCCCTTTTTACTTGGATTCTAAGGTATCCAAACTTAGATCCTCACTCCTGAGTAGCCAGTGCTTTCCCAGGCCATCTCCTGACCCCCTAGGAGATCTTTAAGCAAAACTGTAAGATCAAAGGGTGTTTTCTCAATGTACAGCTTCTTGCTTTCCACAACAAAAGCATAGCAGTCACAGAGAGTGACATTGAATGACCTTCAGAATGTGGGATACCAGTAAGTAAATCTTAGACTGTAAAGGTCTCTCCTTCCAGAACCCTGGGGACAGTGCACAAACTGTCTCTGGTGAGAGGGGTCTTACTGGTGTTTGGAAAGACCTACTTATGTTTGCTTTTGACTTCATTCCATTTCTCTAAAACCACTAATAAAAAATGTTCTAGTCCTGAAAGGTGTTCATGGAGATCCATAACCAAACTTAGATGTTTGTTTTTAAGGTAAAACTATGTTACTTCATGAGCCAATGCCAAGCCTTTCCTGTTTGGTTGTCACGGTCAAACAAAAGCTTATGAAAGGCAGCAAACAGGCGGGCAGTCTGATACATCATCTTTTTTAAAACAAGCTTTCTCCCTTTTAAGTGGAATCTTATCCCACTTTTGGCCTTCAGAAATGTTTTGTTCACAACAAGAATCGTTGTACCATATTAGGCAACGTCTCTCCTCCTCACAGCTTGAAACAAAGACGAGGGCTAAGTTCACAAGTTTGATTCCCTTTAAAGACATGTTTGATTGCAAAGCTCTGTCCACCCTGTTTGATATCCTCTGCAGACCGCATGACTGAACTAAGCTGAATTCCAAGCCTGCGGCTTAGGCATCTCATAGCAGCATAGTTGTTCTTTGAGTCAACTCTGCCACCTAGTGGCCTGATGTGATCTTTCTATTCATGATGACATGGCTGTTTAGTGTTGTAATGAACTATGACAAAAAACAGACACTCCTGTCCAAAGCAGAGACCCAAAATAATCCCTGAATATGACATATACCGGATTCTAAAAAGAGGAAATGCCATGTAGCTGGTCTTTCAAAACACATGGTTTCAGACTGCAAAAGCCTTCCCACAGTTAGAAGAATTAAAATGGAGGTACAGTTAGCTGGAGAGATGGTGCAGTAGCTAAGAGCACTTGTTGCTCTTGCACAGGACATGGGTTTGATTCCCGACATCTGTGTGTTGGTTCAAGCCATCTGTAACTCCAATCCCAGGGAACCTGATACCCTCTTCTGATCTCTATGGATGTCAAACACGCAGGTAATACACATACACGTATTTAAGCAAAACATTCACACATATAATAAGCAAATTTAATCTTAACATGTAAATAAATAGAATTAATCTAGAGTTCTGGGAGCAGGAAGTAACTTTGACTTTCTAATTAGTTTAAGAGGTTTAAAAATTGAGAGTTTTGGCTCACTTTTCTGGGTAGATGATAGGATTACATTCTTTGTGGACCCCAGGCTCTGTGCTTGTGATCTGCCCTACAACTGAGAGCGAAGATATGAATAAAATCTCTTTTTTAAAAAATTCACTACATATACAGCTAGAGCCATGGGTCCCTCCATGTATGTTCCCAGGCTGGCAGTTTAGATACTGGGAATGTCCTGTGAAGGCAGGATGCCCCAGTGTTGGGGAATTCGAGGATGGGGAGGGGGAAGTGGGTGGATGGGTGGGGGCACCCTCATAGAAGCAGCAGGAGGGGGGAATGGGATAAGTGATTCCGGGGGAGTTGGGGAAAGGGGATAACATCTGAAATGTAAATAAATAAAATATCCAATAAAGCAAAAAAAAATTCAGAAAGTCATGCAGACAGTAAGAAATCTCTCCCTATAGACATTAACATCATTTTAAAAAGAGAGAGAGAGATTTTATTCATGTCTTTGCTCTCAGTTGTAGGACAAAATATAAAGAAGCACCTTTCAGGACTAGAACATTTTTTATTAGTGGTTTTAGAGAAATGGAATGAAGTCAAAAGCAAACATAAGTAGACCAATAAAGAATTATTGGTCTGTGACTTCTGGATTCCACAGACCAATCACAGCAGCTTACAAGAGGTAGTTTTAATGAGATGTGCTGATGATATGACCAAAATTAATTTTTTTACTTATAATCATTTTTTTTACTTTTTAAAAACAAATTTCAAGAGCCAGTGAGATGGATCAACACATAAAGGCTCTTGCTGCCTGATGACCTGAGTTAACTTCCTGGCACCGACGTGGTAGAAGGAGAGCACCAGCTCCCCCAAACTGTCTTCTGACTTCCACACATGCACCATGGCATATGTACCCAGAACATGTATATCACACATACAAAAAGATAATTTAATAAATAAATGTAATAAAAACATCTTAAACAGGTTTATTTCTATATGGTTGGCAGTCACAACATATTAAGAGAGTCAATGGCTTCTACCGTGACACAGATTTACATATGCATTACAGCAGATTATTAAATGTATAGTTAGAGCAACTCAAACTTATTTTAACAAAGTATAGTTTGGATTAACTGTAACCCTCAAGTTGTGTATTAGAGATGCGGACTAGTCTAGAATATTCACTTGCTACTTTAACCAAGTAGGTTAATCAAGAGCTATTAGAGGTGGATAATCAAAGTCTTCCTTCAAAAGTGCAGGGAACAAAGAGAGGGGCTTTTTGTTGTTTGTTTTGTTTTTTTTGTTTTGGTTGTTTTTTGTTTGGTTGGTTTTTTGGTTTTGAGGGTTTCGGGGGGTTTTTTGTTTTTTTGTTTTTTTTTTTTGTTTGGTTGGTTTTTTTTTTTTTTTTTTGGCTATATAGTCAAGATCGAGGTAGTTCTATTGATTTAGAAATAGCTATGTCTAGTTTTGGTAAGTAGCCAAGGATGACCTTGAAGTCATATTCTTCTGTCTCTACCCCTGGAGTGTATGTATTTAAGGCATGTTTCACTACACCTAATATAATTGGACCTGAGGAATCTCCCAGGGCTTCCCTTCATGGTATGGGGATACTCAGGCTGTAGTTGTTTCTTAGGATTCTACCCTACCTTGCTGCTGCCCCCATCTTTCATTTGCCTTCCCTTACACTCAGATCTTGCACACAGATACAGAGATGGTGAACAGAACCCAGCACCCCCAAAGATAATAGACCTTTCTCTCTTCCTAGCATCCACATGCATTGACCAAACTGATATTTTTTTATTTGGATATGTGTCGAGTCTATTACTGTGGTCAAGGACTCGGGGACACCTGCAAATGCCTGTTTCAAAACATGCTGGAAGAGTGTCAGACCAGACACAAAAGAATAGTTGAAAGAAAGCCAATCACAGGTATCTAGTATGTCACCCCTTAACAAGAAAAGGTGAAAGATGACAGACAAGAAGCCTTGAGATTTCTGGATATTATGTTTATTTGTAATAAAATTAGCATGGTCATCATAAGACAAGAAAACAAGACCCAGAACATGATTCATTCCCATGAGAGAAGAACCCTAGACCATGCCACAATGGCAAGGACCCCTTGCAATGGATGTCAGTGCATGACACAGAGTGGCTTTGGACTGGTACAAGGTGTAAACAAGGCTGCTGTGCAAACCTGGCAAAAAAAAAAGGAAACTTAGATAACTGTGTCTAAGAACCCTTGAAGAAAATGAGTCCCTAGGAAGATGAAGTCTCTCCAGAAAGTATATAATAAATAAGCATGCTATCAAATGTTATTAAAAAATAAACATATCACATATTTCAATAATGTTTTAAAGAGACAATGCCACCAGCTAAGGATGTAGCTCACTTACTAAGTACCCCCCCATACCATGCAGGGAAGCCCCAGTAGATTTCTCAGGCCCAATTATACTAGGTATAGTGAAACATGCCTTAAATACATACACTCCAGGGGTAGAGACAGAAGAATATGACTTCAAGGTCATCCTTGGCTACTTAGTATGTTTGAAACCAGTCTGTGCTATATAAGAACCTGTTCCCGAACAAACAAGAATAGAAATAAAGAGGTGGCGTTATGTGAAACGGTGGACAGTTTTCGCTCTTGCCTGGGGTTGGCTTGGGTCATTCCAGTGAGGCTTGAATAGCCTCAAGTTCCTTATGTTCGTCATTTTATCAGATGGATAAAATGCAAATAGCTCACATGCACTTACCCAGTAGGATGATGGTCACAGTATAGTTAAATAATTGTCACATAAGCATCTGCTACTTTTCCCCTGTGGAAGAAGGAGTCGTGAGTAAATCTGCTGAGTGTGCTGTTAACATTCCGAGAAATGTATGTACAAATGTGAGGGAAAGCACCAAGTCTAGTTCCTTGGCTAATCATTCTACCTTGAGCAAATCAATCCCAGCATGCCCTTGACTCACACCCTTCACATGAGAGAATTAACTTGATCATATTTAGTTGCCTTGAAATTTGCATCTTGTTACATATGCATCCTAACCATAGAATACACAGCCAAGTGTGGTACATGCCTTAGCCCAGCTCTGGAGGCTGAGACAGGAAGGCCACAGGTTTGAGGGCTAAAGACTGAGTTCCAGACCTGCTTGGGTTGCAGACTGGGATCCTCCCTCAGAAGATTTGTGGGAATACAGGTACGAGTAGACAGGAGTGGCAAGGGAAGTTTAGGGTTGATAGTGTATAATTGTCAAAGAAAAAATGTGATTTTTAAAAGAATATAAATAAAATGTAAGCTACTCAAAGAACATACCAAACAGAATAAAGATGTTTCCTAACTCCACTTTTCTCTTTTTTCCCCCAGACTATGTCAGAGAGTCACAATGACCTTTCACAGTAACAGTACAACCTCGCCTTTGTTTCCCAACATCAGCTCTTCCTGGGTGCACAGTCCCTCAGAGGAGGGGCTGCCCTTGGGGACAGTCACTCAGTTGGGCAGCTACAACGTTTCACAAGCAACTGGGAATTTCTCCTCAAACGACACCTCCAGTGACCCTCTGGGGGGCCACACCGTCTGGCAAGTGGTATTCATTGCACTCTTAACTGGCTTCCTGGCCTTGGTGACCATCATCGGCAACATCCTTGTCATTGTGGCATTTAAGGTCAACAAACAGCTGAAGACAGTCAACAACTACTTCCTCTTAAGCCTGGCCTGTGCAGATCTGATCATCGGGGTCATTTCTATGAACCTGTTCACTACATACATCATTATGAACCGCTGGGCACTGGGAAACTTAGCCTGTGACCTCTGGCTTTCCATTGACTATGTGGCCAGCAATGCTTCCGTCATGAATCTGCTGGTAATCAGCTTTGACAGGTACTTTTCCATCACCAGACCTCTTACGTACCGAGCCAAACGAACAACAAAACGAGCCGGTGTGATGATTGGTCTGGCTTGGGTCATCTCCTTTGTCCTGTGGGCTCCTGCCATTTTGTTCTGGCAATACTTTGTAGGGAAGAGAACTGTGCCCCCAGAAGAGTGTTTTATTCAGTTTCTCAGTGAGCCCACCATCACCTTCGGCACAGCGATCGCTGCCTTTTACATGCCTGTCACCATCATGACTATTTTATACTGGAGGATTTATAAGGAGACTGAGAAACGTACCAAAGAGCTGGCTGGGCTACAGGCCTCTGGGACAGAAGCAGAAGCAGAAAACTTTGTCCACCCCTCAGGCAGTTCTCGAAGCTGTAGCAGCTATGAACTACAACAGCAAGGCATGAAACGGTCATCCAGAAGGAAGTATGGTCGCTGTCACTTCTGGTTTACAACCAAGAGCTGGAAGCCCAGTGCTGAACAGATGGACCAAGACCACAGTAGCAGTGACAGTTGGAATAACAATGATGCTGCTGCCTCCCTGGAAAACTCTGCTTCCTCCGATGAAGAGGACATTGGCTCAGAGACCAGGGCCATCTATTCCATTGTTCTGAAGCTGCCAGGCCATAGCACTATCCTCAACTCTACCAAGCTACCCTCCTCAGATAACCTACAGGTACCAGATGAGGACCTGGGGACTGTGGATGTAGAGAGATCCCACAAGCTTCAGGCCCAGAAAAGCATTGATGACCGTGACAACTGTCAGAAGGACTTCTCCAAGCTTCCCATCCAGTTAGAGTCTGCCGTGGACACAACCAAGACCTCTGACACCAACTCCTCGGTAGACAAGACCACGGCTGCTCTACCTCTGTCCTTCAAGGAAGCCACGCTGGCTAAGAGGTTTGCTCTCAAGACCAGAAGTCAGATCACCAAGCGGAAAAGGATGTCGCTCATCAAGGAGAAGAAGGCCGCCCAGACGCTCAGTGCCATCTTGCTAGCCTTCATCATCACATGGACCCCCTACAACATCATGGTCCTGGTGAACACCTTCTGTGATAGCTGCATACCCAAAACCTATTGGAATCTGGGCTACTGGCTGTGCTATATCAACAGCACCGTGAACCCTGTGTGCTATGCCCTGTGCAACAAAACATTCAGAACCACCTTCAAGATGCTTCTCCTATGCCAGTGTGACAAAAAGAAGAGGCGCAAACAGCAGTACCAGCAGAGACAGTCGGTCATTTTTCACAAGCGAGTGCCCGAACAAGCCTTGTAGAAAAGGGGTTTATCAGTAGCAGTGACCACACATCCACATCAGCCCACACAGCCTAGCAGGAGTCTGGCAAGGGTGGGAGGCCGTTCCTGATGGTGATAAAAAGAGGTTTTTATCAACCACACAGGAGAGAAGCTGCCTATTTACTGATCCATTGAATAACTGATTTTGGTCCAATGCCAATTCAGCAGGAAAGAAGGAGAAACGTACTGCTAAATATAAAGATATGCATTCTGAAATAGACTTTTAAGTGGATTATTTTTCCTTTAAGAGAAAAAAATTATTGTCTCAGAGCAAGTATCCTCAGAAATTGATCTGCCTGGGTCTTTTAATTCCTATTAGCTCTGGAATCACTGGTGAGCCTCAATGTGCTAGATGCCATGTGTTCTCCCTAAGGGTCCCAAAGTGTCCATCCAGATCCCACGTGAAGCACGCAGGCTTGAAAAAAAAAATCTGTGGTTCTGAGTTATTTTGTATATTGCAAAGCTGATACCACTTGTCCCTGATCAGCTTCTGTCCTCTCTCGGTGTGTTGTTAAATTCTACTCGTGGATTTGACTCTTGGTTCTTGCAAAGTACTGTTTTGTGCAGTTCAAGTTTCATACAAATAAAATTGTACATGAATACATGCATACCTATATATGTGTGAGTTCCGCACGCACGCACATTGTGTATATAACATGATGGGGAACAGTGAACGGGCAGAATGTTCCTACCATGTATGCTTTCAGTGCTTTGGTAACTGAAACTCTCTAGGATCCTCAAACGATATGAAACTGAAAGAAGCCCAGTTTAATGTTGTGTTTTGGTTTGGGTTTTTGACACTGGAGATATTTTTCACAAACCACCCTGAAGAAAGATATCCAGCACCGAGAAGCCAGTCTTTCTTAGCAAACCTATGCTAGATGGACAGTCTTGAGAGAGGGTCAGTCGGTTGGCATCCCGTCTCGATTGGACTCAGTACGTACTGTCTCCTGTGCTGTTAGCTCTGTTGATAGAGCTAAACCAGGGCCCCTCCGAGCTCAAAAGAATGAACTTCTGTACGTGTTTGAATTTAGTCGTCCAAATTTGAATGTTTCAAAACAAAATTTCTGGGATCTAAACTGCTCGAAACTCAATCCTAGAGTCACCTTTGAATGTCACATACAGCAATATATCTACATTTACATAGAAAATCAAAGGAAATACTGTGCTCGGAGCTGATGGAAAGTATTGCATTTTACTTCTGGCCACCTGGCACCTTCTGAAAGGAAGCAGGGCTTATCTCCTGTCACTTAGCAGGAGCCCAGACCTTCCGGTAGTCACTGTATAACCTTCACCCAGGAATGGTTGGTGTCCAGGAAGCCATGCATCCTCTGAAGAAAGAATTGCACTTGAAAAAGTATTACTTCAAATTTGATTTCTTTCCATTGTGATAAGCGAATTTTGCATCATCCTATGAATTGCCCCAAGTGCACCGTGTTCTCTCTGGGGGAGGGGTCTGCTGCTCTCATTCTCCTGGCTGCTGTATTTGTTGGGTTTCTTCTTTTCCTTCTGCTGGGACTGTGTGTGGGAGCGGGCGGGGCGGGGGGTGGGAGGGCTGTGGAGAACCCTTCCCTTGTGCAGGGCATCCATCCGTGTTGTGAACCCAGAGCTGGGGCCAAAGCTGCTTTTGTATTCAGTGTGAGGTGGTGTTTACAGCCAACTTTGACATCAGTGGGTGTGTTCTCAGTGGTGTGTCTGTACCTGAACTATTTAATGTCGTGTCATGTTTATATAAAGAATATTTATGCATACTTTACCATGTGTTTATTTAGTGTTGATAAATAACTCCCTCCGTTGTGCAACCCTTTGACATTGATTCTTTAGGGTCCACTCGAGCCATGACTAATGTCCAGTGAGCTTTGTCATGTGGCTAAGAAGAAAACCATCACCTAGTTGCCGTCTGAGAGCAGCTGAATCCTTCCAGGTAGTAAGCCCCTGTCATTGAAAGCCACTCTCTAGTAACCCAATGTGACCCAACAAGGCAATCCTCCTCCATGGTATCTGAAACCACATTGCAAGGAACAAAAAGAAGATCCCTATCATAGTAAGGATTTTCTTTTAATTCTTGGCCCTCATTTAAGCAAAAGAACAAGGAAAACTGGAGACTATTTTTTCCTGTGTAAAGTGATGTGCAAAAGCCGTGTTCTCCACCTGGGAAGCATCCGGTAAGCTATTGCATCTGTATTTTATTACTTAAGTTGGCCTGGCATTATTAAATATGCAAATTCTCATGCAAGTTTCACTGTACACCTGTACATCAGTAATTCCAATCTTCCTGGAAACTCCCATTCCTCCCCCTTCCCCCAAGAGCTCTTCCTTTTATTTAAAAAAAAATTAGAAAAGTCCTGAGCTTGAGCGGAAATTCAAGGGTAAATTGGGATTCCACTTAAACATCATTATCTTCAGCCTCGTGTCCAAGATGCCAATAGTTTTAAAACCACAAAAACCCTAAGATTCTAACTCTCCTTTCTAGCTAGCTACTGGATTCATTGTGATGAATAAGCCTCTTATAGGCAAAAGCTGCTTCTAATATCTCTTGGCTGTTTATGGAAAGGTATGTCCAACTGTTGGGTCATTTCAGAAAAGAAAAATAAACAAAATAGATTCTTTTGAAATGAAGAGCTTAGAAGTTTAGCTGGAGATGCAGTTGAACATTTGTAATGGCTTCAATTACATGGGCATTTCTCAACAGGGCTTGTCCTAGAGCAGGCATCTGGCACTGAAGACCGCGACCTATCCCCTACCTTAGAATAGAACTACTCCATCCCGTAAGAATGACATGTTCGGAGGTTTCAGGGTTATCCACTTTAAGAGGAAAATAATTGAACCTAAAGTACACCACATATGGAGACATTGAGAGGGCTTCTCTTTCCCTCCCCCCTCCTCCCTCCCTCCC